GGCCTTGCTTGCTGTTTTGGACTCACTAGGGGTTGTTTTTGAAGGCAGTTCCTAGCCATGAAATTGAACATTCAAGACTTGCTCCAGTGAAGCCAAAGCACCCATCACGTGGCGTATCAGGGCCCAGAGCAGCCCTGGGCTGAAGCAGTTAGAGGCCTCTGTTCTGGGCGTGTGGCTGGGCTGCTCTGGGCAGCTGCCTTCACCTCTCTGAGCACCTGCTTTCTCCAGGTGTCAGGTGGAGCTGACTCTCGAGTGGGAGGCAGAGTGGCTGTGAGAATGCAAGGAAGCCAAGCCAGCTCCTCGGACACAACACGCCTTCTGCAACACATTCACCTGCTGACGGTGGCTTGAGTTTAAAAACACAAACACAGAGCGATGCCCACTATGGCATTTCGAGGACCGCTCATTTAGGACAGAGCTGAAGGCCCAGGCGCCGGGAGGGGCTTGTGACCCTCTGCACTGCACCCCACACCCACAAGCGCACAACCAACTCCCTGAGGCCAGGGCCAGCACACAGGCCGGCAGCAGCTCCTGGACCTGGCAGTAAGAGCCCCGAGCTCAGGGCCCGTCTCTCTGCCACACCCTCCCTGTCCGTTCCTTCCCAGCCCTTCTGTTTCTCTGAGGCTGGCAGGACAAACAACTCATTTCTGACTTTCTCCTTAAAGCCTTGCTTTTTCTACCTGCCAGCTTTGGCTGGTCAGCTCGCTGCTCTCCGAAGCCCCGAATGTGTGGATCCAAATTTGCATTCGGGGCACATGCTTGCTTTCATCTTGAGCTGGCTCAAGGTCTCCTTCAGGCTTTGAACATGAGCTGTTTTTCTTAGCTATTATAATGCCAAATTCCATTCCAACGGCAGATCTGGTTCACCCCCAACCCTGTGATTCTGTGGAAATTCAATAAATCACCAACTGAGGCGGGGGGTGGGGTGGGGTGGGGAAGCACAGTCCCCCCCCCCCCCCCCCCCCCGTTCCTTCATGCTCAACACCCGGCCTGGCTCAGGGCTCAGGAATGGGGCTCCCCAGCCCCTGGACTCCAGGGCTGCTCACGAGGGAGGGCTCCTTGACCGAGGGCTGTGCTCACCCCTCCCCACGTCCAGGGCCTCCATGCCCGCTGCAGACGCCTGGGGACACAGCCGAGTCTTTTCAATGAAAGTCTGTCCCCTAAGGAAACAGCAAGACCTCGGCGAGTCCGCAGCAACAAAGATGCTTCCTCCCTTAGCCCGGCTCTCCCTCGGCCTTCCTTCCACCAGGGTCTCCAGATGCTGACAAGCAAACGAGAACCCAACTGTGCAAGGAGAAGACAGAGGGAACGGGACGAGTGACGAGTGACGGTGGTGCAGGGAAAGCCTCTGGCCAGTAATGATGGCGTTGCTGGAGCGCAGGCGGGGTCTGCCACAGCCTCCTCGCTGCTTCGAAAGTTATCATCTTCGAAAGTTATCATCAGGCACAGCGTGCAAACTGCCCGAGGACCTCTCTCGGCCAGGGCCTGGAAACCACCCTCCCATCACACCGTCCTCACACGGGGCCCATCTGCCACGGGGAACACCATGCCACGACTTGGATGGTCAAGGACTCGTGACTGCCCACGGGCTGCATGGGTAGAGAGCTGTCAGTCTCTACAACCGTCCACCTTGTGATGTGAAGTTCAAGTCCTCTGATAGGGCAGAGACGCTCGGACACAGCCACAGTCGTTCTGTGGCACGGAGAAGCCACGGGTGCACAAATCTAATTCTGTACTGACTTGCATGAAACCGGGACACGGGCTACGAATGCACTTAACATTTAGTTAGCTGCTTGCCCCCTTAGGCTTAGGAGCAGAGGTTTTGGGTGAACTAAGGTTCTTAATATATTTAAAAAAAAGAGAGAGAGAGAGAGAGAGAGAGAGAAAGTTAAACCTGACATTTAGCCACAAAGGTCACCTCGCTGGCCCTTGCATAGACCCTGTCCCTACCTCAGGGCCTTGCTGCACGGCCTGCCCAGAGCACCTTTTCTGCAGTTCACTGATGTCCTGGAGGCTTTCTCCGTCACACGACTCAGAAAGGACCCCTCCTAGGCTTCTGTATCCTCACACCCTTCTTCAAAGCACTGTTGGTGATGGAGATCAAAGCAGGTTGATGGGGGCCCCTGTCCCCCTCTTCAGGCAGGGCCCTGGTCTGCCCTGTGTCCTGCACTTCCCCCTGGCCAATGCCTGGCACGGCCACACCCACGTGCTCAAGAAAGACTTGTGGGTAGAAGACAGAGCGCCGAGGGCAGGGCAGGGCATGCCGCCAGGAGCGCTGTGTGGGAGAAGAGCCCCATGGAGGAAGGAAGCAGACAGCACACGCAGCATGTTCTGCTCTCGGACCCACTGACCTGCAACACCCTGGCAGAAGCTGAGAGGCGAGGGAGTCGCCCCTCTGCCTGGCCCTCCGCCCAGAACCTACTGCGCTCTGCCGCTGAGCCTGGGGCGGCGGCGGAGGGAAACGTACTGCTGAGCAGCGCCACCTTGTGGCCAGAACCCTGGGCGTCAGGTGCAGAAACCTCCGCTTCAGGAGCCCCTGGCCTCTCATTCTCTCTGTCCCTACCTGACAGACAAAGCGATGGCAGAGCGGAGCCTCTGGTAAAAGCCCCTCCCGACACCTGGCCTCTTCAACTACTTGTTGCTTCAAGGTGTGCCCCGGTGGGCAACCGTCCTGACTGCCCATACCTGCTGAGCACGTCCCGGGTTCTGGGGATGCTGTGTGTACCCACACCTTTAACGCACCCGGGTGCTGTGAGTGACCACTCCCGGGGGCGGCCTGGTTTCCAGGCAGTACGCCAGGGGAGCGGGGCTCACACCCATCCCTGCCCCCACGACGGCCTGGCGCCCCACCAAGGGCAAAGGAAGCACAGGTCTGGGCAGTGAAGGAGCCCGCGGACACACGTTGCTGGTGCCTGAGCCCAAAAGTACCCCCTGCGGTCACCGCCCCTCCCCCACCTACTCCAAGCTGCACCCGGGGCCAGGGGCGCTGCCAGGGAAGTCCGGAAAACTCCATAGCCTAGGAGGGTGCAGGCAGTGGCTGGAGCCTCGCGGCTGCCTCTGGGCGCAGTGCCGGGGGTGTCACGGTGCCAGGCTCAGGCTCACCCTGGCCCAGGCCCGTGCAGAGACAGGGGCATGGGCGCCGGCGCGGTGCATCTCCCGGCCTCCTTCACCATTTATGGTCTCAGAGCCTGGGTCTGGCCGGCGCGGGAGGGGAGGGGCTGTCACTCACGCTGGGCTGCTCTTGGAGCAAGTCAAGCCTGGCAGAGGACGCACGCCCCGCCCTCTCACAGGCCAGCAGAGGGGCGATCACTCCAAAGAGTTCTTGCTCCTCCGCTGAGGGACCCCCGGCTCCAGGGGGCGGAGATTAGCCTGGCTGGGTGTTGCTAATCCAATCTCAGTGCAGGGTTGGGGGGGCAGGCACTGGATTAGCTGGGCTGGTGGCAGAGCCAGCGAGAGCAGCACTCAGTAGACAGGGGATTGAGCCATTCGGCCTGGCCCATGCTGTCCTCACTCCCCCTGCCCAGTGGGCACTCGGGTGGGCCAAGCTGCCTCTGAGCAGGGTGCCTGGTGGGAAGGGGCCAGCGAGGGCTATTCTGAGCCACTCTGGTTTCCTTGGAAGTCTCACTGAGGCTGCCACTGCAGCCATGCAATGAGAACCAGGGAGGCCAAGTGGGACACAGTCCCAGGGCCACAGTGGGCCCTGCCCCAGGAGGGAGGTTTCCCGGAGGAAGGGGTAGACCAGTTCATCAGTGATGGCTCCATGCCGAGGCAGTTTTCCAGAGAAATCCGGGGTCCTGGGGGTATGCACTGGCTCCCCACAGAGCTTCGCAGGGCGGGGGTGAGGTCAGGCATCAGTCACATTTTCCTTGGGTGCCAGCTATTCTGTCCCCGAGGCACTGACACTGCCCAGCCCACAGTAGGCAGCCTCCCGCTTTGGGAGGGGCAGGGTGCAGCAGCAGGCGTGGAATGCAGACACCCCGGGTCGGGGCTCAGCAGCCCGGATTTCCTTACTAGCTGGGCGCACGTAGGCAAGTGACACGGAGTTCCTAAGAACTGCGGACCTTCCTGTGTAGAATAGGGACAGCACCACCACCACCACACCCCCCTCCCCCGCCCCCACCTCCTGCTGAGGTCTCTGAGATGACACAGGGAGGGGAAGGAATTTAACACAGTGGACAGCACAGGCGTGTCCCCTTCCAGGGAAACCAACTCCTGCAGCCTCCCAGGGGCGACTGCTTATGTCCCAGGGACACTCTGCCAGAGAGGACAGAGGCCTGGGGACAAAGACAGAGGAGATGTGGTCTCCTGCCAGTCTGATGGGGAAAGCAGACCCACCACGCCCAGGCCCAGGGGGAGGCGGGGGTCGGGCTTACCTGAAAGCCCAGGGCCCGAGCAGCACCTCTGTGTGCACGGGCACCGCAGCCCAGACAGATCTGCCTTGAGTCTGCAGCTCCCTGGGACTCCTGGGGACTGACTGCTTGGCTGATCCATGGACGACTATGATAATCAGCTTACTGGCCACCAGGCTGGGGACGTACTGAACAAGCCTGGCTGGCAGGGAGGAGCAGGCCCCGAAGGCGGAGGGGACAACCTGTGGTCCCCCGTGGAGCCTCAGTCCCCACACACCATTTGTGAGACCCCTAATTGCTCTGGGGGCTGGGAGCATGCCCCCTCCATCATCTTGCCCTGTGTGTGGTTTTCTTCCTACCAGACTGGGGGCTACTGAAGCCAGGGGACCCTTCCCCCTTGCCATGTACCTTCCACGGCCCTGCTGGGGTGAGGGCTGGGTCCTGTCTCATGGCAGACCTTCTTACTGGGAACTCCCAGAGGCCATGGCTTCCACCTGCCTGCTTTGAGAGGAGTGTGCTCTGTCATCAGGGGGTCTCAGCTGCCTACCAGTGATGGCTAGAGCCAGGCCCCCTGCACCTCTCTAGGTCCAAGCCAGTAATACCACGGAGCAGGCATGTCTACAGGAAAGGCATGCCTTGCTAGGTTCCTACCGTGGACGGCGACCCGGGCGCTGCAGGACACCTGGCCCAGGGCGTTCTCAGCCAGACAGGTGTAGGTGCCATCGTCTTCTGGCAGGGCATCCTGGATGTGGAGCTCGGCTACACCAGCTGCACAGGTGGAGTGGGCGTACCGGATGGGCTGCCCTGTGGGGGGAAGCACAGGAGGACTGAGGCCAGGCTGCACCCATGGCCGCCCGGGGCTCCTATCCTCAGTGGGCACTGATGCTGGGGCTCCTCAGGCTCGCTTAGGTCCGCAGAGGGCCAAGGGTGTGGCAGGACCGCCCTCAGCCCGTGCACGGAGGTTTGTGGGCTGGAGAAAGAAAGCAAAGGGAGTGACTGATTGGGTGGATGGGGGAGCAAGACTGGGCCTGGAAGGCCTTGCCGGGGGGAGATAGGCAGGAGGAACCAGACAGGATCCTGGATGTTTCGTGTTAAAACAAAGAACAGTCTCCCAGTCCATGTCCACAACCACACAAATTCAGAGCCTGCAAAGAATCTCACAGGGTCAGAGCCTACAAAGAATCTCACAGGATCATCTGGTCCAGAGCCCAGACTCGGGCAGAACAGGCCTTGCCTAGCCTGGACGTGAGGCCTCCAGGAACAGCGGTCCCTTCCCCCTTGTAGACGTTCACCAGTTGAGCACATCTGCCTCCCCACCCTGATGTTGCAGTGGGTGCGTTTCTTTTGTGCAGTGGCGGGGAGGGGGTTAGGGCTTAGGAAAAAAGAGCAGGGGAGCTAAAGCTGACCCCGGACCCTCCTTCCCAGAGTCCCTTCCCCCAGCACATTTTACAAAGTCCTGCATGGGGCCTGGAGCGCATCCCATGAGCTCCAGTGCTTTCCTGAATGCTATACGTTCCTGGGATTTCATCATTCCAGGACGTGACTCCTCATTTCCAGGAAAAAAAAAAAAAAAAAAAAAAAAACCAACAAACGAAAATCTCGGGACTGAAGCTTCTGGCCCGAGAGCAGGAATGTGTCCCCCACGCCATGCAGGAAGCAACTGTCAGTTTCTTCTCTCACCAAGACGCAGGGACCCGGTTTGCACTTCATAAAACCGGGGGTGGGCGGCCGGGTGGGGGAAGCAGGTCCTCTCCCCGTGGGGCGAGGTTTTCTTCCGCAGGGAGTAACACTTCGTGTCTCCAGCACGGTTTGGCAAAGCCGGGGCCACCGTGCCATGGGGCCAGAGGGGCGATGTTCTGCCAGCCTCGTGCACTCCGTCACGTGGGGCTGGGGGCCGGGGGCTGGGGGCCGGGGGCAGGGGGCCAGGGAAGGCAGGGGCTAGGACCCTGACACCAAGAGGGCCGACCGCCACTCTCTGATTTTATTGTTGTGACAATGCCACACTCATACCCACTCTTCCTTGAGCACACCAGGACATTCCCTTTTCACTCTCAGTGTGGTCCTGCTGTCTGGACAGGCACTGACACACTTCTCGAGAGCATTCTTTTCACTAGGGGGTAACTCATTCTGGTCCCACCCACACGGGCTCAGAAGTGCAGACCTCGCAGCCCACAGCTGGGCCAGGCCAGAGTTAGCCGCCAAGGAAACCCAACGTGAGCACGGTCGCCCTCTAGTGGGAAGGTGTGGAAACGCCAAGCTCTGCCAGAACTTGCTGGCTCAGACTGGTATAAAGCAAACCGCGGGTCAGGGGCCACCTCCCACCTACAGCCGGTTTTTGTACATGGGGAAGGCATTTTGCATCTTGGCTTGCTCCGCCCGTCAGTAGCAGACCCCTAAATCCTGTGCCCTCCCTACCTGTGCTTTCTGCTTAGGCTCTTGAGATGTCTGAGGTCTAACTGGGAGTGAAGAGAACTTGGGCAGTATGGGAGGGGCCAGCGCACCAGAGCAGGGGGCTGGGGCAGTGGGGGCTCACCGTTGAGCAGCCAGGTGATTCGGGGTGCTGGGGTCCCCTGTACCGAACACTGTAGCACAAAATCCTGGCCCTCGGTGACGCTGCAGTCCTTCAGGACACTGGAGAATGACGGGGCCACCTCCATCGTGGCCCGCCCTGCGGGGGCAGAGAACAGAGAGGTGGCACTGTGGGTCCCAGCTTGCCTGCTCTGGTGACCGACCACAGCCGCTGCAGGCCTCTCAGGTGGACACCTCACTCCCCCAGGCACCGGCTGTGCCTTGTCTGTCTTCACATTTAGGGAGCAGGCAGCAGCACCCGGGCAGAGACCCGCAGTGGGGCTTGTCCAGAGTCCAGAGCTGCCCCGGTCTGGCCTCCCCTCCTCTGTGGTTCAGGCATCTCCTGTCTTGTGACTTCTGCTATCCTGGAGCATCCTGCCAGCTCCTTCTGCCTGCCTCCTGGGGTCCCACCGGATGTCCCAGGGTTTCTTCTCTCCCCTAACACGTCTCTCTGGTGACTGCACAGCCACTAGTGAGTCCAATTCCAAGACTGAACCAAAGCACAAAGACTCACAGGTGTTCTGGTTTTCCAAGTAGAGTTTGAGCCGCAAACCTAGATCCAATCCAGGGTTCAGAACTGCTGGGGGCCTGGGAATGTGCATGAGCGATGACCCTCTTTGGATTTTTTTTTTTTTTTTTTGACAGGCAGAGTGGACAGTGAGAGAGAGAGACAGAGAGAAAGGTCTTCCTTTTCTGTTGGTTCACCCCCCAGTGGCCGCTGCGGCCGGTGTACCGCGCTGATCCGATGGCAGGAGCCAGGTACTTCTCCTGGTCTCCCATGGGGTGCAGGGCCCAAGCACTTGGGCCATCCTCCACTGCACTCCCGGGCCACAGCAGAGAGCTGGCCTGGAAAAGTAGCAACGGGGACAGAATCCGGCGCCCCAACCAGGACTAGAACCCCGTGTGCCAGCGCCACAGGCGGAGGATTAGCCTAGTGAGCCGCAGCGCCTGCCCCCCTTTGGATTCTAAGGGGGGTCCCGGTGAGGAGAGGCTGCCTTGAGCTCTGCAAATGCCTTCTGCGCCAGTGATTGGGGGACGTTTTGTAGCTTGGAGACCTTACTTAGGCTAATGTCTTCTCAGCCACCAGGAGGCGCTGCAGAAACCCTGAGGGTGCTGATGGCCCTGAGAGGTTAACAGATCAGCAGCTACCAGACCGGTCGCTGGGGCTTCTAAGGACAGGCTGCTCGGTCCGGAGGTGAGGGGAAGCCATGTTACACCCCAGGGGTTTCTGGGTAGAAAAATGGTAACATTTGAAGGCCAACAGCGTGCCAGCTACTTTTCTAAGTGTGATTGCGACAGCATTGAGAGGTGGCTGTCTTTAGCTCTTTTTTTGGGCAGGTGAAGTTAATGATTTCCAGAGGTCAAGTCCAATGGTGAAGCCAGGTTTTGCAGCCAGCTCACTGACCCTGCAGACACATATTCTCTTCCAGACCCTGTGGGGAAAGTAGGCGGTGGGAGGGCAGCTGCAAGATACGAGGACGGTGCACCCGAGCTGGGCCGGCACTGAGCCAGGGACCAAGCAGACCACCCTGAGAAGGGTAGAGAGCTACAGCCTCCATCCCTCCCCTCACCAATGTCCAATTCCTTCACTAGAGAAATGCCTTTGGGCTTTCCTGCCAGCTGACGTGGGTGGGAAATAGACTCTCTTTTACAAGGCATGCGACCTTGGACGAGTCACTTAACCTTACTGTAGCTCAGTCTTCTCACCTGGAAAATGGGTGCAACTACACCTTTCCCCTAAGGTTGTTGGATGCCTAGAAGAAACAATGTAAGCAGAGCATTTAGCACAAAGCCTGGCCAGAGAACGCCCTCGGTGAGCGTGAGCGTGAGCTCTCGTTATCCTGTGAGGCTGGGCACACGGCCAAGGGCAGTCTGGGGCGAGGAAAGGGGAAAGACAAAGTAGGGGTCTGAGGGGCTGACAAGTGGAAGGGAGATTTATCTCCTTCCTCAGCTTAGGGAAGTCCACACTGAGCTTGTATGGAGGCAAAAGAGGCCTCTTGCTAAGGGACGGGAGTGACTGATGGCTTTTCTGCACTGATGGGCAAACAGGGAGAAAGGGCTGTGGGCGAAGCTGGAAGAGCACATGTTGGATGGCCTGCCTCTCGGCCCAGGCTTCTGCCAAGAGTGAATGGGGGGATTTTGTGGGAGGCTGGAGGAGTTTAGAACACCCTGTGTCTGCAAAGAAGAGAGGGAGTGGAGGAGCGCTTCTGGAACAGTAGATTAAAGACCTCTGAAAACCTACTCATAAAAGCCACAAGAGTGGCAGGCTTTTGGCCTAGCCGTTAAGATGCCAGTTAAGGGGCCTGCATCCCACATCAGAGTTAACTGGTCTCTGGCTCTGGTTCCTGAGCCCAGCTTCCTGACAATGCAGACCCTGGGAGGTGGCAGGTGATGGCTCAATTAGTTGGGTCCCTGCCACCTACAAGAGAAACTTGGATTGAGTTCCCAGCTCCTGGCTTTAGCTAAGTCAAGCCATGGTCCTTGTGTGCATTTGAGGAAGTGAAGCAGCAGATAGGAGCTCTCTCTGGCTGGCTGTTCCTCTCTCTCTCTCTCAAAAAAAAAAAAAAGAGCAACCAGAATACTTGCAAATAGAATCAAGGGCTTGCAACATTTGGAAGAATATTCATTTGAAGACAACAATGGCCAGAACTCAGCATGAGGCCCAGGTAGTAAGAAGAGCAAGCTCTGAGGCTCCCTTCCGCTCACCCAGGCTCTGCAGTGGCTCTGAAGATCAACAGCAACCCTGGGACCAGTGCCGAGCAGCAGCTGGAAGGGGTTCTGAGCTCCTGAGTGAATGCCATCCCCAGGGGAGCTGTCACAGTTCGACCTTTCTGGGAGTTCCTTCTTTACTTCCACTTTCAGGGCTGCCTGTATCTGCCCTGACCCAGAGTCAGCTCTAGAAGAACAGTCCTACCTCCAACGTGTTTGAACAAAATAATCTGTGGCAGTTGTTGAACGTCACGGCTAACTGCAGCAGTGATATCAGTCAGGGTTAACGAGAGTCTGACCACAGTCCTAAAACGGGGGCCAGCACTGGGGCACCATGAGCTAAGCTGGCACCCCATATCGGAGGGCTGGTTTGGCTACTCCACTTCTGACCCAGCACTCTGCTGACGTGCCCGGGAAAGCAGTGGAGGACAGCCTAAGTGCTTGGGCCCCTGCTACCCACATGGGAGACCCGATGGAGCTGCTGGGATCCTTTGGCCTGAACTAGCCCTGGCCTTTGCAGTCATTTGGAGAGTGAACCAGTGGCTAAAAGATATCTCCTTCCCCTCACCCCCATTCTCCTCCTCCCTCTTTCTCTCTCTCCCACACACACATACACACTCACCCTCCCACTCTTTCTCCCTCTCTCTCTATCACTCTGCCTTTCAAATAAATAAATAATCTTTAAAAAGCTTAAAAGGAAAACTTGAGACATAAGATGCCCAGGGCTTTGAAAAGCCCCAACACGCTCCTGGGAGCCTAGATGGCCGTGTGCATGTGCAGGGCCGTGTGCATGCCCACGGAAGCCGTGGGGTTTTTCTCTCTCACCTCTGGCTGACCTGGGAGCTCTGTGCAAGCAGGAAGTAAAGGTTAAGGCCGGCTTGTAAGCTGCCAGTTGGAGCATTGACAACTTGCTACAGTACACAGATAGAAGCCTTCGGCAAAGGCAGGAGATGTACTGGCCTAAGGCATTTAAAGAAATCTCCATCTAATCATTAGTTCATTGGCCACACAGAAAAATTAATCCAGACTTTACACAATGGGAGAAAATAATTTCAAATTCTAAATATGAGGATTGGTATCCAGAAAATATAAAGAACTTTTACAACTCAAAAATAATAATTTTACAAAACCACAAATGACCCAATTAAAATACGGGCCAAGTCCAAAGAAGATATACAAATGGCCAATAAGCATATGAAATGATGCCCGACATCATTAGTCATCAGAGAAATGCAAATCAAAATCACAATGAAATGATTGTGGATTGTTAGAATTAAAAGACAGAAAATAGCAAGCATTGGCAAAGATGTGAGGAAACTGGGATGCCTGTACATCGCTTAGGTGGACGTAAAATGGTACAGCCCCCGTAGGATGCAGCTGTCAGTTCCCCAACAGGTTAAACAGGGACTCACCATGTGACCCAACAGTTCCACACAGAGTTATGCACATTCAAGACTGAAAGCTACTGTTCAAAAAGGCCTTGTACACAGTGTTCACAGCAACTCTTCACAAGCTAGAAAGTGCACACATTCCGGGTGTCCACCAACTGATGCGTGGATAAACAAGACGTGTGACTGCATACAATGAATGTGATTCAGCCATAAAGATGGACTTCACATCACGTGAATCACGCCTCAATACAGCTGCCACACAGAACAAAGTAAGATGGGGAGTCTCCCCGAGATGAGCCGCCCCAAGACGTTAGCGGCGGCCTACAAGACTTGCAGAAGAGGAAGCCATGGCTTTCTGGGTATATCACCAGCCTACCATGGACGTGACACCGCTTGTCTGCCTCCTGCCACACAGAGCCCTGGCCTGGAGTATGAGACAGAGCTCTGTCTACAGGTACCTCCGCTTCCAAGTGCGTGGATAATGTCCCTTGCCCAGGAGTTCATGAACACAGTCAGAATCCCAACCGCAAGTAATCAACAGTAAATAGAAATTGATCACTCATCTTCTGGTTTACTCCCCAAATTTCTGCAACAGCCAGGAGTTAAAGCTGGAAGTCAGAAATTCAATCTGGGAATCCTGAGTGGGTAGCAGGGACTCAACTACTTGAGCCATTACCTGCTACCTACCAGTGTGTGCACACAGGCAGGAAGCTGGGACCTGAACCCAGGCAACCCTGACATGAGATGTGGGCATTCCAAGTGCTGTTTTTTGTTTTGTTTTGTTTTGTTTTTAAGATTTATTTATTTATTTTACTGAAAAGCAGAGTTACAGAGAGGGAGAGGGAGCTTTATCCAGGTATCCCATGTGGGTGCAGGGGCCCAAAAACTTGGGACATCCTCTGCTGTTTTTCCCAGGTGCATTAGCAGAGAGCTAGATCAGAAGTGGAGCAGCTGGCTGGCACTGCAGGTGTTAGCTTTCCCTGCTTTGCCACAATGCCAGCCCCCTAAGTGCCAAATTAAAATTTGGCAATGTTAATTCCTGTGCCAACCTCCCACCCAGGATTTCTAAGGAAAACATCATAAATAAAACCATTCCACAAGTAAATAACTCGGTCTGTATCTCTAAAATAGGTAAGCTTTAAAAAAGTTTACAAGATTGCCATCACATTTATAAAATAGTGCACATTCCTTTGTATCAGATATCTTATCCATACTTTCGTGATATTCTCATAAAAATCTTTTAAAATTGTTTCCATAGGCCGGCGCTGGGGCGTAGTGGGTTAAAGCCCTGGCCTGAAGCACCCGCATCCCATATGGGCGCCGGTTCTAGTGCCGGCTGCTCCTCTTTTGATTCAGCTCTCTGCTATGGCCTAGGAAAGCAGTCCAAGAAGGTCCAAGTCCTTGGGCCCCTGCACCCACGTGGGAGACCTGGAAGAAGCTCCTGGCTCCTGGCTTCAGATCGGTGCAGCTCCAGCCGTTGTGGCCATCTGGGGAGTGAACCAGCAGATGGAAGACCTTTCTCTCTGTCTCTACCTCTCTGTCTCTACCTCTCTGTAACTCTGTCTTTCAAATAAAATAAAATAATCTTTAAAAAAAAATAAAAAAATAGTCTCCATAAGGATCCACACAAGGTCCCTTTACTGTAATTATTTATTTGTTGAAAAAATTAAAGGAGGCAATGTCTATTTGTTACACAGAGTTTCCAACAGCATGTGATTTGCTGATTCTACCCCTACAGGATTATTTAATATGTTTTTCTAAAATTATTTAATATGTTTCTAAATGCATTTAAAGAAAGGGGGAAAATTTATGGAGAGATATTTATCACAATTTTCTTATTAACAGTGAAAAAACCAGAAATAATTGAAATACCCAATACATAAGAACATGCCTAAGTTAGATACATCCATTCTTATGCAATATTAAATGGGCATTCAAAGAACATTCATTAACATGGAAAGATGTTTATGTTACATGAGCAAATTAGGATAGAAAGCAGAATACAAGCAGCCCAGTGCTGATTTTGCTTAAAAACCATTCAAGTACTTCTGAGTCATAAGGTGGTATATTGTTTAAATTCCCACAATGAGCAGGCCTTCCTTTTACCAGCAGGTAACAACGGCCATCAGTGAAGCGGCTCCCCGTCATCTCACATGACTCTCTGCCCATATGTTTGGTGAACGTTCAGCTCTCTCTGGTTACAGCGCTTGAGTCCCGGCACTGCTTGGACAGCCGAGGAACCTAAAAAGGTAGCTTCCAGCTGACTGGGGGTGGGGCCTGGGTATGATCCTGATATGAACTCCTGATGAAAATTCACTGGGCTGGGGGAATGCACTTGGCCTTGGCACGTGGGTGGGGATGATGCTTCTGCTGCAGACCAGGGGTGAGGGGCTGTAGGTGAACTACCTGCAACCCACAGGCAGCCCACGGCTGGCCCTCCCGCAGGGCCTCCCAGGTGGGTGCAGGGTGGACTCACGGTGCACCAGGAGGGTCCAGTTGCAGGACGCCTGGCCATGGGGATTGGAAGCTGTGCAGCTGTACTTCCCCCCGTCCCTCGCCTGGGCTCTTGGCAGGCAGAGGTAATGGGATCCCTCGTCCTCAAAAATCTCCACGATGCCTTCTCGTCTCCTCATGGGGACACCGTCCAGGAACCAGGCCACTTCAGGTTTTGGGATCCCTGAAACTACAGGGCCAGGGGAAGAACATGAGCTCCCCTTCCCCAAGGAACAAACCGAGACGTGGGGAGGGCTTGACCTGGGGGGAGGGGCTCTGTCTACTCTGAAGCTGCCCCCCACTTCTCACCCCTCAGCCCTGTACCCCTCAAGAGTGCACGCCCTAAGACAGAGCAAGGGCCTTAGCAGGAGAAACACAAGGTGGCCTCAGAAAATCTATGGGAAAATGGAAGAAAAAGGTAGGTTTGTTTTGGTGCAAAAACATTTTAAATGCCTGAATCACTTTTTCTTTTTAAGATTTATTTTATTTATTGGAAAGACAAAGTTGCAGAGAGAAGTAGAGCGAGAGAGCGAGCGAGTGAGGTCTTTCATCGCTAGTTCACTCTCCAAATGACTGCAATGGCCAGAGCTGAGCTGATCTGGAGCCAGGAGTCTCTGTGGTTTCCCATGCAGGTGCAGGGGCCCAAGGATTTGGGCCATCTTCCACTGCTTTTCCAGCCCATAGCAGAGAGCTGGATTGGAAGTGGAGTAGCTGGGACTTGAACCGGCACCCATATGGGATGCTGGCACTGCAGGCCAGGGCTTTAACCTACTGTGCCACAGCGCTGGCCCCTTACTTTTCCATAATTTGCACTTTTCATGAGCTTTTTAAAGAGCCCTCGAATGTATGGATTTCAAAGTTGTTTTGCACCAACATAAACTTAACATTTTAACACCATTTTTCAATGGACATTTGGGACTATCCTCATCCAAGGGTGATGGTCAGACCTCCACAGGTCAGGAAAAGGGAGATGAGAGGAGGATGGTGGTGATACAAGGGATTTTTCCATTCAGGTGGTATGAGTAAGGGCCCAGGGTTAATGCTCTTTTTGCAACAAAGAACAACTGGCCGGGCCACTGCTGGGTGTCTCCACAGGACAGGGAACATTCTTAGGCTGCGTCCTCTTGAAGGTGGCTTCCCAGGGGACCCAGTTCAAAGGGATGGATTGGAAGATGGGTACAGGAGGTGCAAGTCAGCTGTGTGTGGCAGGAAGGGAACGACCACCCAGAAGCTACCTTTTGGGAACCTGCAACCTTAGCTCTACTCACCCTCGCATTTGAACTTGACTGTTTGATCTTCAATGACCTCCTGGCTTTGGGGCTTGCTCTCAAATTTGGGGACTGTTGACTCCCTCTGGCTGTCCATGGGGGATCTCCTGGTGGCAACCTTGCTCACGACATCTTGACTTCCCGGGCCAGACTGCCTGGTGGGGAGGGTGGCTGGACCGGGCGCCGCTAGCCTTGACCTCTCTTCTCCAGAAGGAGAGAGAGCCCCCGAGACAGGTGCCCTCGGTTCTGGCTGCACCCTTGTGGGCTGCAGGGTGATGGCACTAGAAGTCTTCTGCAGGATCCTCTGGGCTGGGTCCCTGCCCGGCTCCAGCTCACACTCCCTCAGGGCCTGAGGCTGGCTGGCCGTGGCCCAGGCCGGAGGGCCACCGCTCTGGGGACTGAGGCAGTTCCTTCTTTCGGCCGCAGTCTCCAGGCTGTCCAGTTTCAGCCCCTTTGAGATTCCATTGGTCACCTCCCTCCTGATGTCTGAACTGCAGGCCTTTGTCCCACTCACAGATGACCTGCTGGGTGGGGAGGGTGGAGAAGGAAGAGTGGCGTGATCATCATCTGTTTACTCGAGAACACGACTCGCCACGAGCATGGATCCCCAGGGTCACAAAAGCCCACGAGTTATAGTGAGTGGGGGCAGAGTCCTCGCAGTTTGCCAGGTTCCCAAGCCCCAGCAGCAGCTGCTGTTCAAGCCTGCCTGTGCTGCACCCATCCCAGGCCCCATGTGGGCTACACTTCTCCAGTTCGAGCCCCCAGCCATTTTCTGTGTTGACTCTGGTCCTCTCCAAACTGCTTCCCATGCGGCAACCACAGTCGGCCTTTTGGACGTAAACTGGATGGCGCCATTTCAAGTTCGAGGACCTCCTGCAGCTTTCTGATGAGGACAACAGGAGCTCTCAAGAGGACCTGCAAGAATGCCCCTCTGGGAGCTGCTTTCTGCCCCTGGGCCCTCACCAGACACTGCTCTGCTGCCTGCCCAGCTGCAGGCTCACGGGGGCTTTTCTGGGCCCCCCACCTCCAGGGCTTTCACTCGCCGGCCCCCTCTGCTGGGAAACACCTGCGTCCTGAGCTTTTCTTCACCAGCTGACACTGCTGAGCTCCAAGCTCAAGGTTTCAGAAAAGCCACCCCTGACCCTCCACCGGCGAGCGCCTCTCTGTTCCTCTTCCTCGGAGGTATGCGCACCACGGATTCAACGCCCTTCCCGACACCAGGCTGTCTGCTCCCGCCTGCAGACTCGGCAGCCGGCTCGGAGCCTCAGCACGGCAGAGGGAGCACCTAGTGAACAGGGCTGACTGGGCAAGGGGTTCTGGCCAGGAGCCAGAACAGAGCAGAACAGAGCAGAGCTCCTGGCTAAGGATGGCTAACTGTGGTGACAACGCCAAGATCCTGAGAAAGATGGCGGCATTGGGTTTCCAAGCCCCTCGAATGGCAACAGCAATCCCAGCATGAGCCTGGACTGCCCGTTCCTTGGGAGAACCGACCAGAACACCCCGGCTAAAACAACCGGCTCTCCTTCCCAACACGATGACCCCGGGAATTAATTTCTCCATGGCCGCCTTTTCTCGAGGGACGCTGCAGGCTGGAAAGTATGACAAGGATAGAGCCGAGACCTACCTGTTGGCCTTGTCCACACCTGGAGGAGAGGGCGGGGAAGACAGATGGTTAGTGGAGACCACCAGGCAGCAGTTCCTTTCATTTACTTCCCAGTTCTGGCTTCCCAAGCATCCCTAACCCCAGCCCAACCCCCATCTCTGGGACCCCGCCCTGCTGCCACCCCCTTCCTGATTTCTTGGTGCTGAACTTGGCTGCTCTGATAAGGCCCTCCCTGCCCTGGCTCCGGCACAGCTCATCTCCACACATCTGTCCTGCTCTGTCTGGGTTTGTTGTTGTCTGCTGGGCCACAGGGGAAGTATGCAGTGTCGCTTGTGCCCCACCGTGAACAGATGCAGTGATCAGTAGCAGGGATCATCTTCTTTGGCCTTTTAACAGTGGCTGTGTCTCTGCCCACCAAACAAACCAGCAACAAAGGGGACAAACAAAATTAAACACCTTCTGAAGATGTCAGACCCGGACACCTTAACCCATGCTTGGGTCCTGTTACCCAAAGTGTTCTTCTTGGACAGATGTGAGTAATATGTTTTACAAACACCTGGAGCTTGAGCATACATGATTCCTAGTTTTTCCCTGCCATATTCATTTCTGAAATTTGTTATGGAAAACTTCAAAATATATAACAGTACAGAGACAGGTATAATAAATGCTGAAAGTCATCTCCAAGGAAAAAGACAAAGGGAACAGCAACCTTCTGCCCATCCTGCTGATCCCCCTTTTGCTTTGTTTTTGAGTATTCCCAAAGCAAACCCCAGCCAGCATCTCATTTTGTCAGTAAGTGCATCAGGATAGCAGGTCTTGACCCCTAAGTGGGTCACAGAGTTGACGTTTGCAGTCAGGACAGAGCTCTCGTTTCAGTGGATGAATAGAACAGAGAGCATCAGTGTGCACCGTGTGTAGTGTGGGTCAGAAGTGTCTCAGGAAACTCGGTTCAGCTAAATATGTTAATTTACATATGCAGGTTCTACATTGCTGTCTTCCTGTGGGCTGTGAAAAACACTAAGACCAAAAAAAGAGAAGAGGAGGAAGTTTCTGATTTAGGAAGGAGATGCAGAAGAGAAGAATCACAGCAGAGAGAGGGGAAGAAAGGAGGAGGCAGGGGCGAAAGTCACTTCCCTGGCAGATCCCAGAGCCCTACCCCTCCAGGCTCCGGCTGCACCCCCATCTGCATGCTCCAGCTTCCCCACGCTGGACCTGGAGGAACTGGAAGGGCTCTGAAGAGAAGATGCAAGCGGGGAGATCACAAAGGAAGAATGACAAAGGCTGGTGCTTAAAGCGGGGCTCAAAGTGGGTGCTGAGGTCGAGTCAGGGCAAGAAGGCACAGGGGAGCCCTGGCAGGTCGGGCTGGATGCCTGATGGGGAGGACAGGGTCAATGAGGAATTATGTTTCAGGCAAGTTAAATTCGGGGTGATGGCAAAACCTTAGCACATCGGTAACCAGAGAAACATAGAGAACTACGTAGCAATAAAGGACTGAGGGTCAAGTGTAGGGACACAAGTGGAGGTGGCGGTCAGCTCATAGCATCTTCCTGCAGGGCCGCTGTATGCCACCCACCTTTCTTCTGGTTAAAGACCCTGCCCCTGGGAGAGGGGTGGATATGCAAGCATGCCACCTGTATACACACAAGCTCAAGACGGACAAGCAGCCCCTCCCCGACCAGAGGGTACCTTGGAGGAAGAGCTCAGCTGACATGGATGCCTTCCCTGACCCGTTCACCACCAAGCACGTGTACACTCCCACGTCGTCCTGGCTGACTTCCTGGATTTCCAGAACTTGCATCCCATTCTTCTCAGACATGGACACACGGGCACTCGGCTGCAGTGGCACGTTTCCCTGTGGATGGCAATGGGGCACTGTGGTCACACACAGGCCTGCTCACCCACTGGCACTGTCCTCCTGCCTCCTGCCAGCCATGGTGGGAGACACGTCAGGACTGGCAGCAGAGTCCTCTGCTCTGGGCTCTGGGCTCTGGGCTCTGTCCTTGGGTATCTAATCACCCTGACCTGAGGTTGTACTGTGGCAGTCGGTTCAGCTCTGGAAAGTGTTTCAAAGGAGCCCAAGTTTGAGGTAGGAAACCCTATATTTATCACTTTAGTTTTTATTTGCCTCTTTGTCCTTTTTTATGGATTCAGAAGAATTAGGAAATAGGTAAAACATATCCTATCACCCATTTTTTAAAAAAAAATTTATTTATATAAAAGGCATAGTAACAGAGAGAGACAGAGAGAAAGATCTTCCATCTACTGATTTACTCCCCAAATGGCCACAAGAGCTGGGACTGGGCCAGGTGAAAACCAGGAGCCAGGAGCTTAATCCAGGTCTCCCATGTGTGTGTCAGGAACCTGAGTACTTGACCCATCATCAGCTGGCACATTAGCAGGGAGCCGGATTGGCAGCGGTGCAGCAGGGTCTCGAATCAGTACTCTGATAAGCGATGCCAGCATTACAATGCGGCAGCTTCACCTGGTATATCACAATGCCAGCCCCTGACACCCATTTCCAAAGAACCTATTCTCCCTGGCCTTGATCTTCCTGTTCCCCAAGATTCCTGGCTGCCAGGCTGAACATCTACTCCCACGCACTGCCTCCATGTCCCCTCCTCTGCCACCTCCGCCTTCACTTCACTCAGCCCTGCACGATTTATAGAGCACCTCCACATGGAGCCTCCAGGATACGCTGGGGCAGCTGGTACTCCTGCCTCACAGAGAGGTAGCCAGGCTTCCAACAGATGAGATGGCTTGTCCAGGGTCAGGGGTTTTCTGAAGCAGCGAGCTGTGTTTTAAAACCTAGGGCTGTAATTTCAAATCCACTCTCCTAAGGTGTCAGGTCTTCCCTGACTCAAAAACTTTTAGGCGACTTTGTGATCATGCTAGGAACTGTGTGGTCTGAGCAACAGAGGGAAGGGGCAACAATGACCATTGCTATTGAACACCCAGAGAACCTTGCAGAGGCACCCATGGCTAAAGTGGGAGGAACTGACTGGAAAGACAGACTCCACTAGCTGAAGAATCTGAGCCTGGACTCGCAGGGCCTCCAGGCCTGGCTCAGGGTCAGAGCAATCAGAACGCCTCACCTTCAGCCAGGTGACCTGTGGCTGGGGCCGGCCAGTGATCTTGCAGGAGAACCGTCCCATCTGCCCTTCTTTGACCACTGCTCGGCCCAGCTTGGTAGCAAACTTTGGCGGGCACTCTCCCCAGATGCTAGGCCGGGTCTCCACTGCTGGGGCTGAAAACCTGTCCCTGGGAAGAAATCAGATAAGGCAGCAACACAGTCCTCTTCCCTCTACCCCACCAAAGTCACACCCCACAGGCTGGGATCACAAACCATCAGAGGGTGGCCCGGCCAACTCTATGCATCAGACTTCCTCAGGGCCCTTCTGGGAAAATCTATGGCAGAACCCATTCTTCTACCTCCAGGACCTGCAGCTGGAGCTCAAGACTAGACTCCCTTGTTAGGTATACCGGATTTCTACTGAGCTCTGGCCCAGCGGTCTGGGTTTTGACCAACAGACTGTGAGCAAAGTGCTACGTGCTGCTTCCGGAGCGGACCCCCAAAACCCTCCTGCAAGATACTCCACTCTGTCTCTCTTGCCCACTCTGCTGGTTATGAGCAGAGGGTCCAGCAGAGGCTCCAAGGCCCTGGCAGGTGACTGAGCCAAAGAATGGAAGCCTGGGTTCCTGGAAAAGAACGTGCAGGGTTCTGCAGCTATTCACGTCGATCTGAACAGAACTTCCCTACGGAGCCAGTGGAATCTGGGGCTTGCCCATTATAGCAGCTACTGTTACTTGCCTCTTCTGGGTCCGCTTGCTTATATCTTCTGACCACTGCCATCATGGTCAGAGGTGCTGTGTGAGTGACACAACGTCTCTCGCAAGCCATTGTAGCCTGGATGCCCAAGAAGCCTCACTCCTAGATGCATCCTGGCCCAGCTGGCAGGAAAAGCCAAACCATACCTCCCCACGACTTGGACATCCCAGAACTTACCCCAAGGTTTTGGAAGCAACCGGCTGACCATGCTTCTTCACCAAACCTCCTGCAAGTAGGAAGCAGAAGGTTAGAGTTGGGTCTGAGCCACCAGCTGAAAGCAGTGGCAGTCAGACAGGGATGGAGGTGAGGCAGGACAGTGATGGCAACAGTTGGCCCTGGTGAGCACAGGGCGCCACGGAGGCACTCCACGTACAGTAGCACGTCCAACAATTGAATGAGGCTGATACTGTACTGTCCTTCTATTGTTCAGAGAAAAGTAAGATTCAGAGAAGTTAAGCAATCCTTGCAAAGACACAGAGCCAGGAACAGTGCAGGGTTTCACTTAGGTCTGCCAGGTTCTAGAACACTTGACCCCTCTGCTGAGGTGGTAGGGGCCACACTAGGCCTTGCATCATGTGGATTACCTGTGGTGACCCAGGGTGACTCCAGAACATGACCCCATCAAGGGAGAGAGGGAGATGCCCAGGCATACCTCTCACTGTGTCTATTCACAGTGGGCACAAGCGACACTGCATACTTCCCCTGTGGCCCAGCAAACAACAACAAACCCAAATGGAGCAGGAAGATGCGTGGAGATGAGCTGTGTCAGAGCCAGTCCCTCCCCAGAGTCTGCAGGGCTGCCACCTGGGCACCCCCAGTCCTGGGCAGGGCACTGCTGGTCCCGGGTGAGCCACTGCCCTGCCGGGCAGGAAGCAGTTAAACAGGGAACCCAGCAAGGCGGCTAGGTCATCACCTTAGATTCCACTGCTGCAGCTGGGGACAGCAGATTCATAATGTGTCTAGGAAGCAACTATAAAGTAGTGTTGTTGTTGTTGTTTTTGTTTGGAGGAAGGGGAGGACGAGGAGAGGACGTTTGTGGGAGGGTGATCACCTTGGAAGCTGTTCTTTGGCGACAAGCTGGGAGTGTTTACAGAACCCTACCCAGGGCAGGCATGGGAAGGGTGGAAGTCATTCTCTGATATCAACAGGCAGCTGCTCTGGGGAATTTGCAGGGTGTTTACAGGAAAAGGATAAACTTCCTTAAACTCTAGCACCAATCTCATTTGCACAGCTGCACAGGATGGAGCAAGGCAGGGCCACCACATGTGTCCCTGGGCAGCCGTCCTCGCTTTAAGGCTCACCAGACCTCTGTGGACGACACACATAAAGTCACGGCTCCGAATGCCTGGGACCGCCACACAGGCATTTCTGTCTAACGTGACTCCTTTTGAGCAGGGTAAACAAGACTTGGTGCTTGTCATTCCATCCTCTGCTCTCCGAAATGGTAAGAGAGGAGTTCAAAGATTCCCAACACCAAGGAATGACCAATGTTTAAGGCGATGGCAATGCTAACCACCCTAATTTGATCACAACACATTGTACTACATCTATTAAATTATCACATTGTATCCCTTATGTATGTATGGATTTAAAAAGATGGAAAAAAGTAAGAAAAAAAAAAAGCCAAACTCTGATCAAGGAGAACCTGTATGTCAAAATGCCACAGGCCCTTCAGCCTTTGCTGGAGAAAGTGCAGTGTCTAGTCCTTCCGGAACATGTCTGAGAAGTGACGGGCAGAAGCTTGATTGTTGCTTCTGGAGAAAAAGGTTCTGCTCCTGGGCCAGTACCCCTCTTCTGTGACTGACTCCCCCGGAAGGAAATGATGCTAGACAGTGAAGAGGGTTTGCAAAGCTGTTCACTTAGGTCTTATCTGTATTAGCAAAAACTGGAAATGCAGCAAATGCCACCCAGGAGGAAGACAGCAAGTAGCTAAATACAGTATATAACTAGTCACCTTATCCTGCATGAAATTATGCAGAAATCTGTGAAGATATTATCTCCTTTGCTCCTAGGCAAACTCCAAATGGGCTACGATCCCTTCTCGCCCCCAGCTCCAGTCTAACAACAGCCCTCCGTTCCCCTCTCAGATGCGTGCGCACACTGGACAAGCGCCACTCCCCTTCAAAGCGCATTCTCTTCTGCTTTTCCCAGGCCGCCAGTCTTCCCTCGCCCTCCTTCCATATTCGGCCTTTGCATGCTGGGGTGCCCTGGGCTGCATCCCAGGCCCCTTCTTCAGCATGCTCTACCCCATCCAGCAAGTCTAAGACGGCCCCAGAGCTCTAAAGACCTATATACACTGACAACCCCTAAACTGTATCCCTACCAGAACTTCTTTTTCACTCATCAGAGGTATCTGGAACAAGATCTAGCATAGCACAGGTACCCCAAAATTTAAGTAAATAAATACATTCTACGAAAAGAGCAGCATACAAAATTACTGATTTGATTGTGATCAGAATTGGGTAAAAAGTAAAGTAAAATACTCAAACCTAGGAAAATGACCTGAAGAAAATTATATCAAAGTGTTTTCACACAATACAATATGACTCAGCCGTGAAAAGCAATGAGGTAGTGATACATTCTACAACATGCATGAACCTCATATGCTAAGTGAAGGTAGCCAGACACAAAACACTACATTTTCTAGAATTCCTTTCATAACGAAATGTCCAGGAGCAGCAGATCCACAGAGAGAGAAGCTGGCCATTAGCTGCCTGGGAGCTGGGGGAGGAAGGGATGGGAAGGCAAGCTCAGTGGGTAGGGGGCTTCCACGTGGGGCGAGGAACAGGTCCTGGGTGGTTGCACAACACCCTGAATGTACTCAATGATGCTGAAGCAGATACTTTAACATGGTTAAAATGCTTAGTTTTATGTGTGGTTTGCCATAGTAAAAAAATAAAAATTAGACTGAGCAGTTTTAAAACTCTTGAAATCTAAACATCTTAATCCAAAAGTTAGTTTCTTTAAAAATACAAACAAAAGCAAAAATATGGCATTTCCCCAAAGAATAGCAAAAGAAAGGGTGAGAACATTTATGGTATGATTCAAAGATAACACACAAAGCAGTCAGCTAAAAGTGGAATTGAGGAATGCTTGTTTTAATGTGAGTTAACACTGGAGAGCTTACATCAAAACAAAAAGAGACTCTGGGCTAACAAAACCAGCGGTCTCTATTTTAAGAAAAAGAATTGAAGCTGCAAATTGTCAGATAAGGCAAAATTAATTTTGCAAAAGTATGAAAACCTGGCAGAACAGGAAGGCTACGTGGAAAAATAAGTGGAAAGGGGATCAAGTTAGAAATGCCGAAACTGGAAGGGTGAGTTAGGAGAACTGAGGAAGGAGGATGGAGTTGTGGAGGAGAGGCAAGGGCTGAGAAACTGAGGGTGCTCTAGCAGTCACGGATGTTTCAAGGATGAGCAAAGGAGAATGCTGGGGGTTGCAGGAGTGAAAAGTTCAACAAAAGAGGGGATAAAAGCAGGTCTAGGCTTTTTTTTTTTTTTTTTAAGCTGAAGCCTATTGAAAGAATGCAAACAGAATATACCACTCACAAAGTGAATAATGTGATCAAGATTTTAAGGGGGTGGGGGAGGAATGCTTCCAAAATGCATGGTCATGTAATTTATCACCAAAACAGGGACTCCCACTACCAAAAGGGGCACAATTAATAATCAGGTCAGGACAACAGGAGTAAACCAGGACGGGTCCAGGCAAACTGGGGAGCAGCCACCCTACCCATGGCCAACTGTGAAGTGTTTCTGAAGCATTGCTTGGCATAGCAGCTCTCTATCAGAACAAAGGGAGAGAAGGAAGTGTGGGCAGAGAGGTGCCGCATCCACTAGTTCATGCCTCAAACTCAGGCAATAGCCTGGGGCTGGGCCAGTCCAAAGTCAGGAGTTGGGAACTCCACCCAGGTCTCCCACAGGGCAGTAAGGACTCAACCACTTGAGCTATCACCTGCTGCTGCCTGGGTGTGCGCTGGCAGAAAGCTGGAACTGGGAGAGGAGCTGGGGTTCAAAGCCAGGTGCTCTGATGCGAGATGTGAACATCCCAAGCAGCGTCTCAACCATGATTCCAAACTCCTCCCTGTGAGGCATTTAGTGATGCCCCTGCATCAGCCTGAACTGAAGCTTATCACTAATCACCCCTACGCACAGCTTCAAAAAGAAAACAGATGTAAAGCCTGAAAAATATAAGGAGATGTGGAAGGAAAGTAAATTATTGCAATGCTTCTTCCAATATGTAACTACTCAGGTGTGACTACCTTGATACGTAAATGCTCAGGGACATCAGAGGACAACAAAGCGGTCAGATGCTTGTATAAACTCCTGACATGTTTAGGTCCAAAAAGGAACAACCAAAATATGCACCATATAAGTAGAACAGGAAGATGAATGGGTACAGGTATACAGGTGAATACTGGAATAAAAAATAGTATTAAGATGAATAACACACACACACAAAAAAGATGAATAACACAGGAGATATTATATTAAAAAGAAATAAGAAAATAACTTAAAAAAACCATATGGCGTGACAAGATACAGATCACTCAAGTGGAGAAAATGAAACAAAAAATATAAATGTGGTGTCAAAACAATTCTGTTTTATGATACGAGATCAAGGAGTCAAAAAGTCATCACAGAAACTTTATCAACGTCTTAAAATCCTAACATTTCTTCACTCAGTGGAAGGGTTTGACAGAGGAGCAACCACAAGAGGCTATGGAGAAGCTGTATTTTAGGGCAACAAATAGTTGGGACCCCAAATAAGAAACTTCAATATTTAATCTTTTTAGTTTATCACTATATCTTAAAATTTTTTTAAAATATGTAAGGGGTCCGGCGCTGTGGCGTAATGGGCAAGGCCATATTGGGTATTTGGGCCCCTATACCTGTGTGGGAGACTAGGAAGAACTCCTGGCTCCTGGATTTGGATCAGTGCAGCTCTGGCCGTTGTGGCCAATTGGGGAGTGAACCAGTGGATGGAAGACCTCTCTCTCTCTTGCTCCTTCTCTCTCTCTCTCTCTCTCTCTCTGCCTCTCCTTCTCTGTGTAACTATTTCAAATAAATAAATCTTTAAAAAAAATCAAGTGAGCTAAATCACAGCTCAAATTTTAAAAAAATATGTAAGATGGCAATATAATTCAATGAGACACCTACATTTTCTGTATCTCCACTAATTTAATACTGTTTGGGGGCTGGTGCCGTGGCGTAGCAGGTAAAGCTG